TGTTCCCAGAATACCAAACACATTCCACTCCCTCTCTGCCTCTATAACTTTATCCTTTAGTTTTTCTCTTTCAGCTTTATAGATGTCACAATGTAATAAGATATGTTCTACATCTTCTTTAACTCCACAGTTCCCACACTTGTCACTGTCACTTCCCCCTGATATACAGAGTACCATTCAATGCTGTGTGATTTATTCTGAGTCTAGCCATCATGATTTCCTCCCTTTTGTTTCTTTCTTTATAAAGATTAATTGTGATTGTCTTTTGAACTTTATGATACTCTTTGCCTTTCTAGTCTTTCTCCCACCTTTTCTGCCAGATCTCCATCCCTTTCTTCTTAATGACTGCTTTTCCTTCTCCTTTTCCAAGTTGAACTGGTAATGTTATTTCCTTTTGTACTGCACTTTTTGCTAATCTATCAGCACACTCGTTCCCTTCCACCCCCTCATGCAGGCACCCAGCAGAACTGAAGATCTATAATATCTATCCTCTGTGAAGTCTCAACAGGCTATGATTAAGTTCTATGAGAATGTCTTCTCTGAAAGTTGTTGTTGACTGTATGCTTTTTAATATGGACAATGAATCTGTGCATATCACCACCCTATCTGGTCTGACCTCTTCAACCCACTGTAATCCTATTATTACTGCCAGCATTTCTGCTGTGTACACTGATAATTGATCAGACACTCTTTTTGAGATTGACACCAGAGAGAGAAATGGCCAACATGTTCTCACTCCCAACTCGTCACATGTTGACGGTCGGTCAGGGCCCCTCCCTGTCACTCTATTACGCACAGGGTACCCCTTGAGAGTCAGTTTCCAATGGACAGGTCGTCCCGTAGACCTTCATAGACCTCCCATAGTGTTGATAATAGACGCCATGAGAACGCTCCCCGGCAAATGCTTTACCCCGACGGTCGGTTGTTATTGTCAATATTAATATAATAATTATTTATTTTTTAATAGTCACACTCGATTTCGTCGATTTTCTTGTCGCCCCAGCTGGTCGACACCTCTTTTAGCAGAAACAAAGGCTACATTAATGGCAACGCAATAATTTACAAACTCTTCAACTACAACCCTAATTATATTTTAAAACATTTTAGAAGGCCTCACGAAATACTTTAATGTAAATTAAAATGTAAATGTGAAGGGATGTGTGTAATGTGGTGATTGACATTATTCACCCACGGATCTATGGGTTGGGGTATTGTTCCGCACGGACATTTTAGTTAACCGGACTTCCTGTTGATGTGAAATCCGAAAATATTTTTTAAAAATAAAATAACACTTTATTCCGAGTTTGCTTGCTTTTCTCTTTGAAAGTCATCACATAACGTTATTGTAATACATGGTTCGGCTGCATCAAATATTACATATCTGCTGTAGTTCGCTATTTATAGAGCCCTGATGAGAAGACTTCTAGACAAACAGGAAGAACTGCCGCCGAAACTGAATATGTGGCGTGGATCATAAATATATCAATTAAACAACATCTTCAATTTCTCTTCACAATATAAGTCTCCTTGCAGTATCAATACTAATTCGGCTGACTTTTATATTTGATCCAATCAGTATATTGGTATATTTACACCATAATGGTGCACAGCTGATAGAAAGGGACACCTGGTGGTTAAAGCACGTTATTGAAATGTATTATTTTTATTATTAGATATTAATAGGAGACACAGACAGACAAACTAATAAGGCTTTATTTAAACATTAAAGAATACTTTAGGTTAAAGGTGGGGTAGGTAAGTTTGAGAAACCCGGCTCGAGATACACTTTTTGTTATATTACATAGAATGCTCTTAACATCCCGATAGTACGGTGGCCGGCAGGTGCAAACGCTAAACAACGGCCAAAAACACACACATAAGCAGGAAACCTGCAAATAATGAAATGAAAAACCAACAAACCCTGAAAACACATACAACAGAAAAACGCTGCATTTACAGAAATGATGCAAGCTAAACCTACAACACACAAACCCCGAAAACAAACGCGACAGAAAAACGCTTCAAATACAAAAACGATATGCAAAGTCAAAAGCACATACAACCGAATAACGTTACAAAAAAAAAAGACATTACAAAAAAAAAACATTCCGGAAGTGCTTCAGGCCTCTAGGGGGCGCGCTACGTGGAACAGATTGATGTATGACCAGACATAGAGAGAACGAACAAGAGGAAAGAAAGTTCATTTAAGTGGAGAAAGATATAAGAAGGTAAGTTTTTTTTTGTTTTTATACATAGAGCGTCATATTTACGTAGCTAGCGTTAGCGTGTTTGATCAAAGAGCTTGCAAGAGCCATTGTGCACCTAAATGTAACTCTTGACATAATATAGATATAGTATAGAACCGGGACGACCCTCCCTACACGCAGATCACACAGACTGGGTGGGGTCTCACGCCCTCACCTCGTGGAGGGGGCCTCAACTGAGCCGCAAATGCGATGCGGTGATAAAAAGGAAATCAAATGTAAAAAGTTGAATTAAAATATTAAAACAGCAACACAACATTATGCCCACATTAAAAGACAGTCTGAAGAGGTGTGTTTTGAAGGTGGGGGGGTCGGTGCAGTCTCTGATGTTTAATGGGAGTGAGTTCCAGAGGGAGGGGGCAGCGATGGAGAAAGCTCTGTCCCTCCAGGTTCGGTGCTTGGTTTGTGGGGGGATAGACAGGAGGTTGGCTTCTGATGAGTTAATTGAAAGACAGTTCTTTAATACTATTATAATATTTAGGTAGCCGAAAAATATCCACTCTTTTTGACTTAACCTAGCTGTCCTACATTTTATTTCTCCACAGATGTACTGTCCATTCTGTGGTTCCAGTGTGACATCTTCGCATGGCTTTTGTGGTGTCTGTGGCAGAGACATCACATTTCTAAAAGATGTGACTAACAAAGTCCCTGAGGAGATGCCCACCACTAGTGCGCATCTAATGGCGCGTTTCCACTGCAGGCCTCGCTCGGCCTCGCTCGGTTTGGTTAGGCCTTATTAGGCCCGGCTCACTTTAATGCTGCGTTTTTCATTACAGTTTAGGAACTGGGGCAGTTACTATAGTAACGCAGTGTAGGCGGAGCCGTGACGTCATCTTCAATGAGAGCTCCAGAAAAACAACACAGCCGTTAGCTCTTAGCACTCAGAGCTCACAGCTCCTCATATCTGTTCAGAAACTAGACAAAAGTTAAACAAGTACAAACCACAGACTGCCTGTGTCATGGAGAATACAGTCGCTGGTTTATTTATGTCTGTAGGCCGTTGTTGTGAGTGTGGACGGTCGGAGCATATATAACGTTAGCTTAGCCAAGCTACATTTAGAAAACACGCATTTTAAAAGGGTTTTTCGCCTGCCGTCTGTCTGCAGACTTGTCAAAGCATTAATTCATGGTTTTTACTAACCGGTATCAGTATGTTGTTACTTCGGCATCATTTTGAAACGTGTATTACAATTAATTCACGGTCAAATATGTTCATCTTGTTGTAGTTGTAGCCCCCTTGCCAGCGATTCTCTCTCTAGTTTAGCATACTCAGCCCGACTCAGCCTGGTTGTTCCTGGCCCTAGAACCACGATTTAGTCGGGCCAGAAAAAAGGTGAAAAAGTAGCCACGGGACAAAACTAGGCCAAGTGGAAACGCAACCAAAAACGGGCCCCGCACGGCTCGGCACGCTTAAAGCGAGCTACCCGCTGCAGTGGAAACGCGCCATTAGTGCACAGTCTAGCACCAGTGCAGGTAAATAGGTTGTTCGTTTTATTACCAAACAATAAGTATTTATAGAAAACTTGGTTTAAAAGTTCGAATTCTGTTATTATACAAATACATCTCTAAACTATGTGGCTTACCTACTGTTGAATGTGTTATAAGATGTTCCTCAGAAGGGATTGAGGATGAGACTCCTATTGAACATAATGAAGAGTAATGAATGTTTTATTCCTGTTTTTTTGTAGCAGGAATCTCAGCTGTAGAGTCCTTTCAAAAATATAGGGAAATAAAAAAGAGGGAGAGACCTTTTTTTACAAAGGGACGGCATAACTCCAAAAATAAACAGAAATTGGTGAAGGTATGCAACGTTTTCTATTATGAATACATCTGTCATTCAAATCTGCTCACCACACTCATATAATGTCCGAAACATTTTTTTATTCATTTGCATATTATTGTCTTTTTGCAGATTTCTGTTGGAGTAATGAGGAGGATGGATGGCTGCCTTAAACCTGTGAGAGGGAGGTCACTTCCCCTTAATGTTGAACCTCAATGGGCATGTGAAGAACTGTTGGCTGCTGCCATAAAAAAGCAGAAAGCCTTTAACCAGGACTTGGAAGATGGTGCCCATGTCTTGTTGTACCCTGATGCGAGGGTGATAACAAATATCCCCGGAACGGACACCCCTTTCACAGTACAGATGTACAAAGAGGCCATTGGAAAGCCCTACCAACGAATTACGTTGTACATCTGTACTCTTGAAGCCGTTGAAAACAGTTGTAAGTGCTTCTGACATATATTCCCCCTTGTTTAAAGCACTAAACTGTATAATAGTTCAAATGTAAACATAACAGTTGTTCTGTCTATATTTCTTAACACAATTCATTCCACCCATCATTCCTTTCTCTTCGTGGTTGAACTTATGACGTCAAATGGTCTTTTATGAATAGTGGCAGAAGAAATGGAATTTAAGTATCAACAAAAGCTTCCAAACTTTCCTTCTGTTCAAACTAAATATAAATTCCCTCTTAAGGATTGTAATTCTAAATTAACCTTTTTTCTCACAACAATGTTGGTTTGTTGTGCCCTAAATCCTAATGTGAGAGTGAAAAAGACGGTCAACAATATAATGTACATTTCACAAACATTTTGTGTTTCGATTGAATCCTTTCTGATTGATGTCAATCCAATAATTCAGGATTCAAACCAACATTTGATGATAGGTACAGACGTAGGCGAACAATTATTTGTATAGTATTAATCATGACACTTTTATTTTCTTAGGTTACACAGGAACAACCTCTTCAAGTGACGAGGACAGTGTGGTTGTTGCAAAGTTGCCATCTGGAGACAGTCTTGCTGACACCGTGGTCAGTTTGGATCTATCGTGGCATTTATTCTTAATTAAAGTGAATTTATTTCATTTCAGTCAGTTATTTGTGTTTTGTATGCAGGTGTGGGACTTTCCAAATGAACAGAGCACTCCCAGAATGGACAACAGTTTGCCAGGGTAAAATAAAACATTGTCAACATGTTATTTTGTGCCACAAGCAGAATGTTTTAACAGTACAGTAGTTTGAATATATTTGTTGTTTACCTTTATCAGACCTCTCAGGCACCCACAACCAGCGTCTGATCGGGTAAGACTAATTAAAAATGTAATTATACCATGTAGGTTTGAATTTGTGAACATGAAATCAATAAATACCTTTGTAATGTGTGCTAATGACACCGTCATTAGATAAACTGCATCATTATTTATTGGGTAAAAGTAGGATGGAGAACCAACCCCATTCCAGGAAGAGGTCCAATCTGCCCCGGGTCAGAACACCTTCTATAGGTAAACGATGTTGACAGTTGCATCGTGACACAGTTATTTGGTGTGTATTTTTATTTGTACATTTGGTTGTTTGCATAGCCTCCAATCACAGTGGGTAACATTGCCAGGAAGCAGAACAATTATACTTTCATACATTTCCAAAGGACACCCACAACATCTGACATCTTAGTGAAGACGATACAAAAAACACCCACAAATATTTTTCAAAGGTCAGATATTGTTTATTGCATCCATTTCAAATGTTAAAAGGATTGTGCAGGAGTATGACAAAGTGCTGTTGTCAGTTTAGAACCCAATGTATTAAAAAAAACAGGATGAGGATCGACATCCTTTTGCAAATATGACTGTCATGCATATATTATGTATTTGAAAGTAATTATTCAACTGTCTTCTCACTGCAGCAACTACACAACTGTGTATGCACTTATCATTATTGATAGCCAGTCTGAGCCAGAAGAGGAAACGGAGCAAACTGCAGAGGAAATGTATTAATTGTTACTTTTATCACTTAATTTTTTTATTCTATACTGTAAATCTTATTACTAGCTTCATCATTTAATATTACAATACATCACTTTGTCTTTCCCAGCACAGAATACCTGACTGCGCCAGACATTGTTGCAGAACTCTCTGCAAAAATTAAAAATACCTCTTGCAGCAGGTTTAATATTAATAGAGCCAATGTATGGGATGGAGCAATCCGCGGCTTCAAACGGGCCTCATTGGACCCCTCTCATCAGATGCAGGTTAAGTTTACTGACGATGAGGGACAAACTGAGGATGGAGTGGACACTGGTGGTCCCAAGCGTGAGTTCCTGACCCTCCTAATGGAATGCCTGAGAATGAGAAGAATATTTGATGGTCCACAGGACAGGAAATTCCTCAAGTTCGACAATGCAGGTAATGATGTTCGCAAATCTGTCTTATGTTCAATACTGTACTGTAAATATAGGAGCTGCTTATGGATTTTGCAGCTTGATTTACGTGACAATTAAATTATCTTATACTGTATATCTTTATGATAACGTGGCAACTGTTGGTTAACGTGATAATAATTTAACAAAAAATATCAACAGCTGCAAAAGATGACGAATACTTTCATGCTGGGAGGATGATTGCAACTTCTATAGTTCAAAAACACAAGGAGAAAAAGAAGAAAACATGTCATGGCTCACTGTCTCAAAATCTGATTCTAAATGTATAATGTTCTTTATAAAGATATAACTAATACACAATTATGAATGTATAATATAAGCTGTTTTGTGTATTTAATCATGCGTTGGTCTACAATTTAATGATGGCTTCTACATATTTCACATAAACAGACAATGAAAAAATGGGTCCTTCATGCTAATGGCTAGTGTATGCATCTGCAATTAGTATTCTAAACAGAGTAGTGTGTTGAATCCTTATTTCTTGCATTTGAAACAGATACAATAAAAAAAAAGTGAACTTACTGTTGTGTTCAACTTCTGCCAAAAACTGTACATGTTTGCCACAGGAGCCACAGAACACTTGAACTGTCCCCAGATGCTGGCCACAGAAAGGACACAACATGGCGGCCTGAAAAGACATACATTGATGTAGTAAATCCATGTAATCAAGTCAAACAAAAACACATAGTCTAAATAGTGGTTAGCTAAATAAATAGATACATCATGTTCACCGTTGAATCTGTGATTTGTCTCTCTCTCTCCTTGAATGTCTCTATATTTGTTCTTGAGCATGTCTAATGCACACTACTATCCTGTCATTACTTTGTCCCTCTTCACATTTTGTCACTTTCTCTCTGAATTCAATAGCTTTATTAGCATGACCATAGTTACAGGTAATTGCTAAAGCTCTGTATAGTTGCAACATCTATACACAAATACATAAATATAAACAAACTGCTAAGAATTCAAATGTCCTTTTTCCGCGGTACTCACTATGGCCCGTGTTATTTGCCTGCACTTGATTTGTCATCTCTTTACAATGTTCTTCCCTCACTTTATCTTCTCTTCACGTGAAGCTCTCCTCCCTCAGCTGGTGTAGTAGTTAGGCACGCTAACGCTAGCTATATAAATATGACGCTCTATGTATAAAAAAACAAAACTTACCTTCTTATATCTTTCTCCACTTAAATGAACTTTCTTTCCTCTTGTTCGTTCTCTCTATGTCTGGTCATACATCAATCTGTTCCACGTAGCGCGCCCCCTAGAGGCCTGAAGCACTTCCGGAATGTCTTTTTTTTTTGTAACGTTATTCGGTTGTATGTGCTTTTGACTTTGCATATCGTTTTTGTATCGCGTTTGTTTTCGGGGTTTGTGTGTTGTAGGTTTAGCTTGCATCATTTCTGTAAATGCAGCGTTTTTCTGTTGTATGTGTTTTCAGGGTTTGTTGGTTTTTCATTTCATTATTTGCAGGTGTTTCCTGCTTATGTGTGTGTTTTTGGCCGTTGTTTAGCGTTTGCACCTGCCGGCCACCGTACGATAGCAATGAATATCTGAAGTGCTTTGACAAAAAATCCATAAATAAATGTCATCTGTGGAAGCCGTAGTACTGTAAAAAGCACGACCAATCATCTGAGCCGGCCTGGCTAAAGTAACTGGATGGCCTACCTGCCTGTCAGCCTTCCATCGGGGCACACACTTATCTCGTGCCCTCATTGGTCATGTGTGCGTTCGTGTGTGTTGGAGGAGGGGCTCTGTAAGGAAGTGGCAGATTTGTTCCGGCTGTGTATTTTCAAATTCTAGCGCACTCGAGCTGGTTTCTCCAAAATTACCTACCCCACCTTTAAGGTCTTATTTTGAATAAGAAAAAAGCTTTGGGGGTATACATATTAAGCCTGACAAAGTACTAATATATTGCTCTCCTGCATTGTAAACTACTGTATGTTTAAGAACTTATTTGAACTGATATTATACATATGTATTATACTCTTATAAGATGTATGTAGATAGTATAAGAAATGTGCAGAATACGACAGTTTAATGGTGGAGGTACACACATATTGATAGTCTTGTAAATACTGTTGAGGAACCTGCGACCCAAGTTTTTCATCTCCGACCTTGTCAGGTATTGAACATTCAATAAATAAAGAACACTGAATTATTAAATATAAAACACAGAATTTGTGTGACTATACTAAATGATTTACAAATAAACACCACTGCATATTTACAACTGTTACACATGCTGATGTAACGCACATGTTTCAAACTTGGGATCAATAAAGTATATCTTATTTTTAGATGATCGATGGCTACTGCCATATTTGAAAAATTTGCCTCTGAACCTTGACAAGTGCATGTTTCAGGCTTATCAATTAACAACAGGAGGGGTCACAGACATAAGACCAGCTGTTAAATAAAGCTCTTCTGACCTTAGCTGTCATGTGGGTATATTAATGCTGCCCATTATGGGCACAAGCAATTTTCACCCATTTATTAATTATATGTTTTAAATTTTAAATTTGAGTGTTTCCTATCCCCTAAACCTCCAGGGATGTACACAATTTAATACTGGCAACTTCTTATTATGGGAAATACGAAAACGTCTTTTAAAACTACAATTCCCAGTAGAGACGTGCCATAGAACATGTTGCAAAAACACACAATAGCCAGCATGTGTAGTTCTGGGGACGGGGTGTGGGAGGGGGGGGGACGGGGTGTGGGAGGGGGGGGGACCCGTTCAAATTCAGTTTTGCACAGTCTGCCGTGGTTCCATCCCATTTCAAAGTGCTGTTCGACGCTCGGCGTAACCCTCGGCGCACACTCAAACATCCAATCACAGAGCTTGAGGACTATCACAGGGTTTGTCAAGCGAAGCGGAGAGAATACTTACTTCCGGGTGTAAAATTCTCTAAAGCAACTACTATGAGCTGCTCCGACCCTCGGTCCTGACGGACTCCAACTTGTGTTTATTAATCAAACAAATAAATAAACACAAGGATAATTATGTATTATTGTTGAGTAAATAACAGTGTGTGGTTTAGAAAATAATACAAAATTAGAAGGAAAAAACGATGAAACAATACAGATTTCAGTATTCTGAGCCCCTACTCTCCCCATAACTGACGGCAACAAAAGTCCTACGTTATTCAATTAAAATAAAGAAGTAAAAACAATAAGTGTGGCTTGATATTGAGTAAGAAAAAGGTTGATAAACGCTGTGAGAATGGATCTGCGGAGAGCATTTCGCCGCGATCCCAACTCGTCTATTACCAACGTTCAGGATGCTCTAGTCAATGGGACGCCCTGCCCGTTAAAAACTGACTCTCAAGGGGTACCCTGCGCGTAATATGGTGACGGGGAGGGGCCCTGACCGACCGTCAACATGTGACGGGTTGGGAGGGAGAACGTGTTGAAATGGCAGTACAGAGGTGCAGGGATATGACCTTAAAAATATAAATAGAACATATCTATAAATGCTGATACACCAGTCCTAAACATATCATTTCTGGAGACAATGCTTTAGTTACAGTTACAGTGGAACAGCCTAAAAAACACCCAACTGCACTGAAGTCACAGCAAGACGAAAAGACAGAAAAATACGTTGCTGCTATCTCCATCTCTACTATAACCAAAAATACTGAAGAACACCATTTCAATCATGAGAGACGTGATGTATGAAATACATGTTTAATACCGGACACGTGGTATAGAAAATTATGATTGACAGATTACAACAATGAATCAACTGATGTTTGGAGATTAGGCCCCGGTTTGTAGGATATCATTCAGGAGGGGAAAACCGCTCCGATGAACCCCCAAAGAGAAGAGAAGTAAGAAGTGCTGAGATGTGAAGCATTTCTTACCTT